GCTGTTCCCTAAATTTTCCACAAACCCACTCAGTCGACTGTTAATCCGCGCCTCAACTCGGGTGAATGTTATGGTAGCTGTCCATCTGTCCACCCTGCGCAGGGCAACATTTGTCTGAGAAAGTATCCGCGACATCACAACTACAGATGCGACAGCTGCATCTCTTTGAATCAATCTTTACAGTGGAGATTTGGATGTCGGACGAATCGGGCTGCGATTGTCTCTCACTCTGGAGAGATAGCACTAAAGATAGCTCGAATGAATAATAATTTGTTATCCTGTATTCTATCATTTCTATTTGTATTCATTAAGAGGGTTTAAAAATTAATGATAAAGCCTCAATAATTTTGATCTTGAGTTCTGAAGAGTATTGAAGTTTTCTATATGATTTAAGAAATTCATTTTGAGTGATTGTTAATATAAATCAGATTTGACTAGTTATATGAAAAATTACGTTAAGTATTTTGATATTAGGATATTAATTTGGTAGGATTGATTTGAGATTAGGATATTATATAATTCACAGTAAAATTTAAAATAATGAAATCTAATTCTTGAACATTTGTTATTATAGCAAACATTAAATACAAATTCTATATCATGTCATCTTAATAGATAAAATAAAATTTAAAAAAAAAAAAATTATATTGTGTTCACTCAATTCGAAAACATACATACTTTTCATTCGTTTATAAGTGGCCGAGGTAACCTAGTAGTTATGGTCATGAACTCGTGGCCGGTCTTAGTGCCACTGAAGACTCGTCTTGTAGAGTGACTGCTGAGAGGTGAGGGAGTTTGTAGAGAGGGATACCGGTTTAGAGGTATCCTCCTCGTCATTTAAACATGGTTCAGAATTAAGAGGTTCGTCTTCAATAGCATATTAGTTTATAGCAGGGGTAAGCTACCTTTTAGCTGTGGTGTGCCAAACCAATCTACCAATGTGATTCAGCGTGCCACACTGAAGGACATTTTTGAAACAATTCGAATCCCACGATAATGCATGCAGAATTAGTGAATGGGGATCTTTAATATAGATTTACAGTTTTATTATATATTAATTTTGTACCATTTAAAGATATTTTTTAACATTTTTAAACATCATAAAACATAACTATTTCTTCATCAAAAATAAAAAAAAATTAAACTGTACGTATATTATGTATTTTTAAACACATATTTATTAAAATAATAAACAGACACCATAAGATATAAGTATTTCCCTTCATTATATTAAAATAAAAAGATAGATAAAAATTTTAATCCGAACCTAATGCTTGTTCAACTCTACTTTCATATCGCAGAATCAGGGGTATAATTTGTGACTTTCTGTTTGACATTTTGATTCTGAGCCTTCAGTTGTTGAACAATTTCTTTGCGAACTCTAAACATTTTTCATATAAGGGAAGATTTTTACTTGGATATGTAGAACCAAAAGCGGAAAGCAAAGTACATGCAGTTTTCTCTCTTCAAATAATTAAATCCCTCCAGCAATGGCATTCAATAATTTACAAAACAACTGTAAATTTATCTTTAGAGTCATCTTTCAGATTTTTTCGTAATTCCGCGTAAATGTCCATAATTCTGAAGATGTTTGTCAAATAAGAGGTGCGCTACAAATTTATCAACTTCCATTCACTCAAAAATTGACAAACTCTTAAAGTAGTGTGTAGTGCCACTGAAAATTGTACCACTTGCCATAGGTTGTCGACCCCTGCTTTATAGTTTACCATTAATAACACTCTCTCATTCGTTTTAAAAAGTATAACTTAAAGCTGCATACGGAAGGTGTTTTTTTTTTTTAAAAAAAAAGCTTATCACTTGTTTTAAAAAGTTTGTGTATTAAGATACATTCGCAAATGTGAAAAAAAAAGCATTATTTTAATTTTCTCATACATCATAAATTTTTTTTCAAATAAATAATTGCTTAAATATTTTGGAATACGTGAATTGTCATATACCTCAGATTTAAATCGCAATATAAAATTTTCTAAGATAAGAGAAAATAATTTCTACGCATCGCACAATAAAAGAACTCTAAATAAATATTCTTCAATGAAGGCAAATATAAAAAATCATTATATAAAATGCAAATATTTTGTTTTAAAAAGAAAAAATGTAAACACTAAAATTAATAAACTATAAAAATTCAAATAAATTACAAATAATTTACCTACTAATGGCATCTATAGTTAAGTAAAAGTAATTAGCAGATTTTTTGATATAACTACTAATAATTATTAATATAACAATCAACATTAAATTGACCACAAAATAAAAACTAAGAAATTTAACAGGGAATCATGTGCTACACAGTATCTTGCGAAATTTTCAATGTTATTAATTTTATCTATATTAACTATTATTTCGAATAAGTTATTTTAGTATATATATATTCCAGTTTATCTGTGTAACTACTCATCACTGTGATTTTTTTTTTTTTTAAAAAAAAGGGGAAAAAAACGCTTGAGTTCCTGGAAATTAATGAATTCGAAAATAAAAATTATTTCAGACTTAAGAAACTTTTAAGACCGAAAAGACTTTAGAGATGGAGAGAATATGAGGAGAACGTTATCGCTTATACGGATGAACGACCTGGTGAAAGTAGTTAGCGAATTTTAAAATAAAACGTCGAATCAACTCCACCATAATATCGTCTTAAAGCGAATGGTTCATTTTTTTTTCTTCACGAGACCCTTTCTCAGATAATCCCATCAAGTTGAAAACGGGATCTTAGTATTGCACGTTTGAGAAATGACGCTTATCACTTCACACACCTACCTTGTAAATATCTTGTGTCTAGGTATTACTCTGTCCTAAAGAATCATAAATATAAAATGCCAACTCTTTATGGTAGACGATAAACATTGTGTATTGGCTCATTTTAATGCATGAAAATTTGTACGAAATGTTGTCATTTGAGAAACGGTTTTCATGCCATAGATTATAACTCCTTGACTATGAAGTGTTATGCCATTAAAATAATGGTATTGTCGGAGGATAGAACCCAGTACCCTCTGATTCGCTAGCACGTAACAAACCACTAGACAAAAGTGATCACTCCGTTCCGGAGTTTGTTACTGTTTTATTTATAGATACCGCCACAGTACCTTTAGGTCAGTGATTCGGCGAATAGGTAAACGAACGAAACGTGGCAAGCATGTGAGCAGTTGCATCACTTTGTGGGTTGCGTCAATCATGCGTGACGGCTTGAGAATTGCGTCATTTGTGTGAGACGGCTTTGTAAGTGACGGCTTAAATGCGTCAATGTTTGATGACTTGGTTGCTTTGGTGGTGGATAGATGGCGTAACGACTGTTGCGCGCGAAGGGTGCGGTTCTTTTTTACGGCCAGGGTCACCAATGAAGGAGGATAGAACCCGGTACCCTCTGATTCATAAGCACGTAACATACCAATAGACAAAAGTGATCCCTCCTGTCCGGAGGCTGTTACTAACTTATTTATAGATACCACCACAGTATGAATAAAATTGTGAACATAAATAATATACAAAACAGCATGAAATTCTCAAAATATAACGTGGTTGCAGTATCCGAATGGTCATGGTCCTGAATTCAAGGCCGGTGTTGTAAAGTCATAGGTTCGAGTCCTGGTGCCACTAAAGACTCACCGTATACAGTGAATGATGCACATTAAATATGTAGAGCCTCACATTATGAGCATTGGCGTGGTGTGACACGACAGATCAAGTGTCGTCCTCGTCCCTTGGTTATTGCTCAAAATTACAAACAACGCGTTGCCAATAGCCTTTTTGACACTTCTAAGGGTTTCATTGTTATAAAAATCAATGACATAACTCATAGAAAAACAACAAAAATTAAGGAATTTAAACTGAAAATGTAAATTGTGATTAATCCAATACGATTCGAGGGGTGGGGGAGCATCTCTTGCTTTTTGCATTATATTGTAGTTGATGAAATATTATTCAAATATTCATATTAACTAAAAAACAACCATTTAGATTATAATTTGGGGTTTCATTTGTAAACAGTAACATGTGTTTGGTATTGTTTGGGCTTAATTCTTGAGAATCTGTACCTTCTACATTAGGGTGCCCTGTTACATGCTTTTTCCTTATCAATTGATTGCTTTTTTGAAAAGATAAGGTCCGACACCAACACTCCTTGCGTAGCTTCAGAAGGATGCAAGTCCAAAACAATTAAAAAGCAAGATTTGAAGTTCAGAAAAACTAAGATATTTCATTAACAAAAAACTTATTTTTCTTAAAATTTTAATTGTAGATTAAGTTTGATATCTCCCACATAATTTAATCATGGAAAATTTTGAAAGTTTACCTATTTTATCAGAAATTATCTTTAAAATAAATAAGAATTCTATGACATTTGTGTTGAACCACTCTGTTTTAATTTAATAAAATAACAATTCACTTTTTTGTCTAAAATTACCTTTTTATTTCTAATAGCGGGGTCGCCCTTGTCATTTGACCGTGGCTGAAAATTGAGAGATCTATCACTAATAACTCGTGTTGCTTCTGAATGCAACGTTTGAAAATCAACCAAACCAATTATCTGATTGATTAACAATCAATTATTTGATTGATTGATCATTGTAATGAAAACATGTGATTCTTGATTACATTTTTAAAATAAAAACAATGACTGTACATAGCACTAAAAATCTATTAATTCTTATGACATTTTTTATCTTTAATTATTTGAAATTTGTAATTCTTTAATTAATATGTTTTTTAAAATAATGTATAGTTTTATTGATTTCTGTTCACATGCGAAATCACATCATATATATATATATATATATATATATCTTGTTCAAATTTTCAATTGTTAATAAAACACTTTTTATTCATCCATTCAAGTTCAAATACAATTTTTTAAACTTGTAGTGGATGAAATTTGATGTTAATACAGTTTTTCAAATACTAATCCATTAATTAAATTTAATTAATGAATTAAAAAAAAATAATAATCCAACACCATGTATAAAAAGAAAATCGCTCGCTGTGTCCTTGTAGCGCAATGGATAGCGCGTTGGACTTCTAATCCAAAAGTCGTGGGTTCGAATCCACCTGGGATGGCCTAGTTTCTGAAAATGTGATTTCTTTCTTACTGTACTATTTTATTAAAATAATTAAATTTAATTAATGAATGAATAGTAATAAACAAAAAAAGAGGTAATCTAACACCCTATATAGAAAGAAAAACTATTTTGTCCCTAAATATTGTGTTTCTGTCATTTGCATATACATATTTATATTAATTGTAATTATTTAATAAAAAGTAAATAAAATAAAATTTTTCTATTCTAAGTAATAACGATATTCCTGATCATTTTGATTCTTGGACAAGTGACAAGGACGATTTCTGAGCTGGTATATACATTCCTCTCTCTAAACTTTCCAATCACATTAACGTTATGACCCTCGATAGGTTTAACACGCCTAAGTCTTTCTACACAGCGATTCATTGGCCTCACAGGAATGGTCATGGTCGCGAACTCATGGATGATTCGCGGTTTTCCGTCCTTGTGCCACTGAAAATTTGCCGTGTAGGGTGAGCTGATTGCACGCCTGAACCCCAAACCCTGACATCATCGTGCAGACATTTATAATAATGATGTTTAAAAATAATATTTATTTTGCCCTAACTGGCAACAGTTTTTTGACTGTTTTTCAAAAAATAATAATACAGTGGACTCTCGGTAATTCAAAGTTTATGCTCAACCCCTAGGAAACTCTTGATATTTCGAATTAAAACGATACGTTTCGGTACACTCAATATTTCGAAGTAAAATCTATGGCTGGCCAGACTACAACACGCAATAATTCGAAGTTATATTGTAAAACTGTCGACAATTTGAACACTTACTATCTAGAGTCCTGTAGCAAACAGGTTGCAGCTTACATGTTTTGTTTTGTATTGTCTCTGCGTATCTCCCCTGCAACGTAGCCCCCTTGATGACCATCTGTCTGCTACCCTTCTTAGTGTTTTCTGGTTCCTCAAGTGAAAAGACTCTTTTTTATTCCTTTCCTTTTTCAAGTGGACATTTGACATACCCCACCTGTTGTCAGCCGTCCATATCTTTCGTTAAACACGTGGCTTTGCTACACATGTGTTCAGAAGGTATGGTCCACTATTGTGAAGAAAAGATATGCAAGATTGTGTTTTTTGTGTCGGACTGACATGCTGATTTATGGCTCGTGTGTGTGACATATCATGTGGCACCCAATAGGGCATCTGAGGGAATCGGGTGCGAAACGACATTATTTCTAATGAGGAATGGAAGAGATTTGGTGGGGCGTGAAAAAGCCCTGTACGAGAATTACTACATAAATGTATTCTTTAAATACAGGACTTTCAACTTCTGTAAATATTCTGAAAACTTTCAATACTGGCGACAAAATTTTCAGTCAGAATTTTCATCGTCCTCCCCTTCTCCGCATGCAATGATATTGTATCGAATGCTATAATTATGTACTTTGACGCTAAAACTACAAAATGATCTAAATTATAAACTGTACATAGTATCAATATAAGTATTAAATTTTATATATGTTACTTAAAAGTAATAAATATTTTAAGTTATAAGATAAGTATTATGTTACTTTTCATAGTTCAGAATGCATTTTGTTTCGCCTCCTTTCATTCAATTAATAATTATTTTTAAATAATCCCTTATTTTCGACTTTTCGATATGTTCGCGCACCCTAGGGGAGCACGCCAACAGTTTGAGAAACACTGCTATAATATGTGCTTTTTTAAAAATATTTTAAAGTAATTTTATACATATGTACAATTGCTGTTTTATTACATAGTTTAAAATTTAAATGTGTTAGAAAAAAATTTCACTTCGTGTATTTCGGAAGATTTTTCTTACCCTCTTGATGATTCGAAGTTTTTCGTTGGTTCCTCCAACTTTGAATTATCGAGAGTCGATTGTATAAGGAAAGAACGGAAAATGTCGCTATTGTTTAAAATGTTGACTTGATTTAATAGGGCTGGAGCACATTAAATCGGCAGTGTAGAAGTTAGTGCCGTGGTTTAGAAGTTAGGAGAGTGGAGTGAAAGCTCTTGTCGCCTTCATCACTTGGCCGTGGCTCAAAATGACGAGGTCCGTTGCCAATAGCCCTCGTGTTACTTTAAAGTGCGACGTTAATAAAGAGTCATTCGTTGGAAATAACGCCAGCTTCCAATTCGCAAATAGAACCAATCGGCTATCTTGGTCGTGTGTTGAAAAAATCTTAAAATGTTAGCATAAATTAATGTTAACAAGAAAGATGAAACGAAACACATTTAAATCCATTAAATAAGCCAACAGTACAATCAATTTTCAAATTAGAACGAAACACGCATAATTTTATTAGTCATTTGAATCAAGTTTTACGTTTATTAAGGCATAATTACTAATACCAACTTAATTCATACCATTTTAATCCATAAACTGCTTTCAAATATACACATAATTTTAGTGCGTTTGCGACACCATTGGCTCAAGTTAAGAATATTACTTTTAAAGTTTATCTATTAATTCATCTGTGTGACTCTGAATGAAATCTATTCAGACCTACATCCAGAATTGAACATTTGTCAGGCGTAAAGCAAATCACGGAACATAATTCCAAATTCGTAATCTCTATGGTTTATTCCCACAGAGAAAATATTTCATCCTTACTTGAACCATGGCACTGCAATAAGCAAGCACTTCAATATTTATTCCTCAATTTGGCGTTATTCTAAAACTCTCACATCCGTAATTCCGTTTGTCCGGAAATTAATTTAGCCGACAGCAATTGGCTCTTAATGGTCAAAATAGTAATTTGTGTCTTATTGCGAATCAATTAAGACTCCTTTAAGCATTAAATGTGCATTTTATCACGATTCAAATAATCTAGGAGGGTAATGATCCTGCATCAAGGATTTCTGGAAGAGAGTGTAGTTTTAACAATAGGCTTCATTAGGATTCGATTGCGCGTTAAATATCTTCTTAATCAATTATGATTTTCGTAGTTGAGTTGAAAGAGATGTAGAATTTTTAAAATGTTTTGAGAAATTCAATAAATGAAAGATGTTAAAGATTCGCAAAAAATAAATCTAATTTACTTGTTTATACAACAAATTAAAACTCAAATTCATATTGTTGGTTTAAATGTAAGCACATTTATTTGAATTAAAAAAAACATTCCTTATGTATTGAGCGGTATTTTTATCAGTTTATCAGCGGTCGACAACCAGTTGTCCGCCAAAAAATTTTGAAAGTCTACTGAAAATACACCTAATTATTTATTATTACACCTAATTATTTATATTACACCTAACTTTTTTTTTACACAGTAGAAATGTTATTAAGAAAACATTGCAAAAAAAAAAAAATGTCGTAAAAAAATACATGTGAAATGTAAGAAGTTTGGGGATATGTTCCATAAAAAATCGTGTAAGATGAAGATCCTTGATTATTTAATCTTGCATAAAAAGTAATAATAAAATCCTTTTTACGTACTTATTAAAAAAACAATTCATTTTTCTTACAAAGAAAAATTAAATTAGTGTACGTTTAAAGTTTAATGTATAAATACATATACCATATAAAAATTCAAGCTAAAATTAGGAATAAAACTACTAACTAACAACTACTCATCGCTTCTTGATAACAAGTGTACACGTTTATTGCGAACTGGATAAAAAAAAGCTATCATTAGTAAATGTGTTAGATGTGTCTAGGACAACTGGCGGTTTTGATTTTGATTCAGATGAAAAATTTCGTTCGTTATTGACGGTATCTTTTAGTTTTGTTGTTGTTACAAAATCTGTTATTAGAAACAGTTTTTTTATAAGGGGGGGAGGTGTTCTCAAGGTGCATATCAGTGCTGGTTTATCCATTGGGCAGGGACCGGTTGAGGGACTTAACCAGGTTTTCTGGTTATAATTTTCGATTATCAAGTGCTAATAGGGCCTGCAGGTCTTCTACATCCAGAGCCCGAAATGAGCCTAAAACGGCAGGCACTATTACTAATATAGTTCTTGATATCCCTCCTGTTACTCAAAACTTATGTTAACGTTGAAATTATAAGGCACGTTTTATATCAAGATCATGAGTAAGAAAGTGTATCTTATACTTGTGGCAAACTTTAAGCCCTCGTGAATTTAAATCAACTGTTATTTGCTGAGTTTCATCTTCGACTTCGTCATTATCGACTCTTTATTATCATAAATTGTCCTCATCCAAAAGGCGCGAATTTCCATTTTTTTAAAAAAAGATTCGTGCTAAAACAAAAAATTCGCGTGCAAAAAAAAAAGTCGTGTACCGCGTTATTTTAAAATCGTGTAAAAAAAAAAAGAAAGAATTGGGTGTATTTATATTTTTATAATGATTCAGTTTCAAAAATGACAAGTAACAAAACGTATTATGAATTATACTTTGTTTAAAATTTTAGCAACTATTTTAGCAAAATTTCTTCTGTTATATATATATATACCGTAAAATCCGGCGTATAACGCGCACTTTTAACGCAAAAAATAACGTCGAAATTTACGGGTGTGCGTTATACGCCGGGTATAAAAAGACGAGCTTTAAAAACAAAAATAAATAAAAATAAAAAAATGTACAAAGAAACAAACTAAGACTTCTACATTGATCGGAATACTGTTTATTTAAGGTATCTGACTACGTTCGGAACCATGATTTTTAAAAAGTGCATAAATGTATAATTTTCATGATATTTAGTATCACTTAGATTAGAATGCATGTATAAAATTGTTTTGAGGACATTAAGACAAAAAAAATTATTTAAATACAATATTTTGGCAAAAACTTAACTTAGAATAACCTTATTTCCAAATGTTCTCCTTTTGTAAAAAATGCTTCTATTGTATAATTATTTTGCCTGTATATAGCCCAGACCTCTGTTTAGAGGCTCAGCTACGATTTTTGAAAAATTCACGTTATTTTCAGAGTTAAAACCATTTGAAATAATTATCGGCGTATTTTCTTAAAATTTCTCCCCTCTGTTTTCGTAAAACATGGATAAACTGACTTCCAAGTTAAGCGTTTCAAAAATTCTAGTTGAGCCTCTGTACAGA